GGGGACAGTTATATATGCTAAAAGCAACTGGAAGAACAACTCAACACATTCCTTTTTTTAAAGCGCCGTGTTTTGCTCCACACCCCCATGCCAGTTTGAGAGCCCGGCCACCCCAGGAAGTCAAAGTCTGCGAGCAGGGCAACGTCGAAGCCTGGGCAAGCACGCGCAGCGTAAAGCTGTCAGCTATGTTCCGCCACATCTCGCAAGAGGCCCTCAATTGCAGGAAGTGGTTGCCAGAGGCCAGGGTAATTCCAAAAGCTTGCCCCTTTCTGAAACTGTTTTTTTGGGACGGGTGGGCATGTGTTTGGGTGGGTGCGCAACGCAACACTCACGCAACGCAGGAAATGTGGACTGGTGACCCAAAGAGAAGGGCTTGCAAAAGGCCAGCCAGCGCCAGCAGCCAAGTGGCCAAAGACAACAAGCAGCAGAAAACAACTTCCTCGTCCACCTCATCGGCTGGCTCATCTTCGGACGCTGTTGAAACGGAAGAGGAAGAAGGGGGAGACGAGGAGGACGCGGCCGTCGAGGCCGGTGATGAGAAAGCAGATGCAAAATATGAGGCAAAGATCAAAATCGTCGGAAAACCTCCTCAAGAAAACGGCCGCCAAATCAAAGCCCAAACCCAAGCCAAAGCCCGAGCCCAAGCCCAAGCTGCAGCCCAAGCTGTCGCCAACGACCCCGCCAGCCAAGCCGTCAACGCCAGTGCCTTGCTGGCAGCACAAAAGCAGCCCGCCAACAAGTCGATCAGATTAGGGTCAACGCTGCTGGGGTAGGGGCCCCACGCAATTCAATTTTTAGGGGCTTTGTTTGCTTTTAGTTTTTAACGAGTAAGGGGCTGGTTTCAACCAGCGCGCGCCTAAGGACACGCCAGCCCAGCCGGCCTGCAGCCGGGCGGCGCCCAGATCCACCCCAGCATTCATGCCACCGCTGCCTGAGCGCCGCTCTGTTATGGAGTTGATGCTGAAGGAAGTCAGCCACGAAAGTTGCCAGGCATATGCAGCATATTTTCCTTTCTGGGAGGGGGTGGCTTGATCTTTCAGCAAGGGGTCCTGAAATAAAACCGGGTTACATTAGGGAGAGAGCCCTGAGGTTTGGCCAGAACGGCCATGCCGAAGCAAAAAGCAGCGGAGCCTTTGGCGCAGTTCGAGTATGGCTGGTCGCAGCAACACAAGCTGGCGTGGCGCAAGCCAATTTTGAACGGCAGCCTGAGGGGCCCGATCGAGTTTTCCTTGAAACCCACCCTTGCCCCGGATGCCAAGAATGTGGACCCTTTGCAATGCAAGTTCAAGGATGGTGACATCTACACGGTTCACCACATTACTCAGGTGCCTAGACTGCAGGCCGCGGGCGAGCGGCCAATATGTAGAAGTTGTTTTTGATGGCTCGAGGTTGAAAAGAAACATCGTTCTGGTTCTCAGATGTTAACACTGGAGCCCTTGCACTGTCACAAGTCTTGCTTTCAGGAAAAGTGTACGGGGCTAGGCGTTGTTGTCGGGGAAAAGGGGCGCCTATGCAAACCAAGGATGACTGGCGTGCCATGATCGCCGTTGAGCAGCCAAAGCCCAAGCCAAAGGCAAAGCCAACGCCGAAAACTTCTGCTGCGGCCCCTGCTGCGCCTCCCGCCGACAGCCTGGAGCGCGAGGCAGACACGCTCTTGGCAGAGGCAAGCTGGCAGAAGGCGGTGGAAGGAAAGCTTGAGCTTTGGCGGGTTTTAAAGAAACCCCAAAAAGGCCGAGCTGACATTGTGGTCAGCATGAAAAAGGAATCAGATGCCAGCAAGTGGCAACAGAAGGCCCAATTGGTGGTGGGGGAACAAGGAGCTGGTGAAGCCATGGCCGTCATGAAAATGGCTACTGCTGAGGTCGCCGTCGGCACTTTGCCAGAGTCCGGTTTAAAAGACAGGAAACAAGCCTTGTTGGACCTCAACCTCTCAGGCAAGCTTCTTGACTACTTGATGGAACATCCGAGCGGCGAATATGGTGTTGCCCCGGAGTCTGTACTGGTTGAGTATTTGCAAACAAAGGCGGCAAAAGCGACGCAGCCGCCTAGCGAAGTGGAGGATGACCCAACAGGGCCAACAGAGAAGCCAACAGAGAAGCCCGCAGCCATTCCAGAGAAGCTAACAGAAGCTCAAAATGACCCAACAAGTGCCCCCACCACAAACAATTTATTGGGGGACACAACGCCCCCAATGCTGGGGGAGTTCATCGACCAGACTGAGCAAGCCACTTTGCTGGAGAATTTGGAGACGTTGCCGATCCCAGGCCAGTTCCATCCTGCCACGCGCGTGGGCGAGGGAATGGCTTGTCTAGGGTAAGACAAGGGTTTTCCAATCTACTTTCAGAGGGCGTCCGACACAAGATATCTGCCTGCAGGTAGCATCTTCGCAGCGCCCTGGCCTCCAGCCTTGGACTAGCGCTTCTGCCCGGGCCTGAGGCAGCGGGCCGGCAGACTTGACCAACATTTGTTTTTTTTGGGGCCCCCATGACGTGACAGGTCGTGGAAACCCAAGCCCTGAGTGTTCAGAAAGAGCGCGTTGACTAACCTAACATCAATATGCCCCCCAAACCATTTCTAAACAAAACCCAGTTCTCCAAATTTTTACAGGGATCATTTCTGTGGATTGCCTTCCTGAAGTTTCTGGTGTCAGAGCAGGCCCCAACCCCCCCAAACCATTTCTAAAGGGTGGGCCGTTCTCCGAATTTTTACAGGGATCATTTCTGTGGAGTTCCTGAAGTTTCTGGTGTCAAAGCAAGCGCAAGGGGCGCCAGTTACGTGTAGGGCGTTAGAATTCGATGGGCCCAATTTGATGCGGAACCAAAGTGAAAAGATATCGGCGCCCTTCTGCGATGGAATATCGCAGGAGATCGCAGGAAAAAGGACGCCCCCTGGTTGGTCCAAGGGGCAGTTGTGAAAGACGTGTCAGATTTCGAAATCCAGGGTTCCCATAGGCCATGCGCTTATGACTCCCATATGCGCAGCTTGACGTGGCCGCTTTAAAAGCAGTGTAGGGTGTCTGGGGTTCAAAGTATCGATTTTCCCTTTGAAAGGCAGCCTTGACCAACACTGCTGAGGCTGAAGCGCTTAAGCCGAGTTGCCAGCTCGGCTCAAAATGCCCGAGCGTGATCCTAGGCGTGCAGTGCCAGGGCTTGTTGCCCCAAGCTCCCGATGGAGGAGCCGCTCTCCGCTTGCCAACCACCTACGCGGAATCATCACCAGCGCGCAGATCATCAGCGAGTGGGCGGGTGTCCTGACGCGCTGCGCCGAGGGCTTGGCAGAGCTTTTTGATCGGGTGGAAGCAGGCTGGGAGGAAGGGGGGGCGGCGCCGGATCTGACGTCGGAGGCTGTGCCGGGGATGGCGGCGGGGCTGGATTTGGCCGCGGCCAACTCTACTTCCTCTCCTACTACGGCGCTTGCAACCTTTGAGGAGTTCGCGGCAGAGCCGGAAGACGATTCAGAACCACGGACAGCGCAAGAAGCAGCAGACGCAGATGCAGCGTTGTCGCTCGCAGCGTGGTCAGCAACTGGCGCGGTGGAGAACGCAGAGAGGGCGGAGCAAGGCGCAGACTCGGACTCCACGATGTCGCCTTTGCGGCCGAACGCGAGGGTGCGGGCGCAAGCCCGGTTGTCGCAGCTGCAAGCGCAGAACCAGTTGTGCAACATGTTCTGCATCTGGAAATGTTCTTTTTGCGAAGCTTTGGGGGAATCTTCCCGGTGCCAGATCAAGCTCCAAACGGAGCATTGGTCCCATAGATGCAGGGCCCACATGTACACAGTCTAAGTGGCTGGCGGTGAAGTGGAAAAAGGCCCGTGTTTCGCCTATGCGCATCAGTGATGGATTGGGTTGCATTTCACTTGCAAACGCGTGTTGCGCCCGGCGCTCCCACGCAACGTTCTCAGGCCTGACCTTGGTGCAGCCTGCTCTACGGACTGGGGAGGCGTGCCCGCAAATGTCTCCATATCCACAACCAACAAACCCCTCGTTAAAGCTATTCTGATTTCAGTTAGGCTTGCTGGGGGTTACTTGCAAAACGCAAAACAAGGGTCCCTGCTGACAGGGTTAACAAGTGTCGCCAGCAAAACTTGTTTGTAACAAATCCAGGGTTGACGTTGTGTTAGTGTTGCGAGCGCAGACTTGGCCCAGGCGTCCCGGCAACAAGCGTGGCCGCGCCTAGCTGCGGGTCGGTTGCCAATTGGCGCTTCCCTGTGTCGGCTGGCCAGTGAAAAGTACTGAGCCGCTTGACCAATGTCACGTTGCGAATGAATGATACCCAAACGCTTTGTTTTGTGCAAACTTTGCCCAGCAATGTGTTTTTCCCTGTGTGCTGTGTGAAAGGGTGGGAGTGACAAGCCGCGCAAACCAAACCATAACAATAAGGTTGTTACCCAGGTTTCAAGTTTGTTTGTGTTTGAGTTAAAGACATGTTTGGTGGAGTAGGTTTGCTGATTCGCCTGGCAGCCCAAAGCAAAGGGAAATCACAGTTGGTCAAGGGAAATTACAGTTGGTCGCCCTGCAACGTTTGGTTTTTTGCTTCGGACGAGCTTGCAGTGATCAAGCTGGAAAAAGAGCCAGCGCGTGCTTCGATGAGCCAACGATGAGGGGTCCCCCAAATTAACGATGAGCCTCCGATGAGCCCCCCCAAGATTTGCCCAGCTTGCTTTACAAGTAGTCTAGTTCACAGCGATGAGACCTCGCTGAGCGCCCAGCAGCCAACCGGTGAGGGTGCAATGAGCCTCGAAAGCACGGGCGATGAGGGTGCGATGAGGGTAGGGTGTCAGGGCGCGATGAGGGTGCGATGAGGGCCCCCAAACCTTGGCTTAGTTGCTTTAATTTAGAAGGGAACCAATGCAATGAGGGTGCGATGAGGGTAGTTTTCTGGGGCGATGAGGGGCCGATGAGGTTTCACCACCCTGTCATCGTTGGGGTTTGTTGCTTTTTTGGAAGCATTTTGCTCAAAAACCAGTGAACACTATAAGCTGGCAGCGGCGACTGCGGCGAGAATGGCGGTGGAAGACGTCACGGAGGCCATGCTGGAGAACACGGATCTTGGAGTCGACGGATGGGCGTGCAAAGGCTTGGATGTCAACGCGCGAGGCCCGATTGGCGCAGCCGTGTACCGAGCTTTCATCAAGCACCCGGACATGCGGGAGTGCTACAAGTGGCTCTTTGACGACCTGAAGCGCAAATTCCGGACAAGCTGGGCGATGCAGCGGAACTTCGACTTTGTTTGCCACAAGCGCATCCATGAGAAGCGGGAGAGCACCAAGCACTCAGAGATCGGCAGCTTCAAAAGTGAACTCCAGCTGCAGGCGCACTTGGGCGGCGTGGCTGTGCCGGAAGCTGTGCGGCAAGCGGCGTGCTACATCAAGAACTGCGAGAAGTGGCCGGACAGGGGTTCCTAGAAGGGACATCTATGTTTAGATCGGCGCCCCTTTGAAAAGTTTCTAAGTGCAGGTTTGCGCTTTTGTTGTGTGGCGCAGGATGTCTTCGTGCGGTGGAACAGCTGGACGGAGGCGCACAACTACTTGCTGGTGGAGAGGCTGATCACCAGCACCTCGGAGGAGGCTTGGAAGGATGTTGTGGCGATGCATGACTCATCTGGAACTTTCGAGACCGAGAGCTACAAGTGCAAGGCCATCCGCAAGCACGCGGCCTTCCACCGCAAGGCGCCCGAAGCTTGCAATGTTGTCAAAAGCCCCCACGGGCTCAAAGGGTGGGCTGAAATGCAGATCGCAGTGCCCGGGGTACAAAAAGGTCTGGCAGTCCCAGCTGCCTCCACGCTCTTGGCGACCCAGCTGCTGTTGATGGCCAGGAGTGCGGAGAGAAGGCGAAGCGAGGAAGCCGGCGAGCTAACGCAAAGGGCAGCGCGAAGCCAAAGGCCAAGAAGGAGCTCAGCCAGGAGAAGGAGGCAGAGAACACCGCCAAGGATATCATCTGCAAGGTCCAGAAGTCGCAGCAGATCATGGAGAAGATCTTGCAGCTTGGCGATGATTTGCCTTCCGAGTGGAGGTGGGCCAAATCCTTCCTCGTGGACTACAAGGAGCTGACGCAGTCCTTCAAGGATGTCCTTACCCCTAAGGACGGCGACAGTTTGATCGACTTCGTGAACGAACTCAAGCTCACCCTGATCAGCCCGCAGGCGATGAAAGGCTTCAAGAAGCAGTACGGCGACCGCTACGCGCCGCTGTTGCTGTTGTTCAACGATCGCTCCCAAAATATTGCGAGCCAGATCCTTGTGCAAAATTAAGGTTTGTTCCACTATTGGGGTTTGAAGGGCTCGTCAACTTGTGAGTTTGTGGGGTATTGGGGTCCCCCCAAAAAAGGGCAAAATGTTTTGAAACAGAAACGCTTTACATGTGCTTCGCACCGGCGCCCTTACATGTTGGAAGCTGAGGATGGATTCGATTGCCACAATTGTTCACAACATGAGCAAGGCCATGAGTGGCCCCTCGGAGCCCACAGCAAAAAAGCGGGCCCGCAAGGCTTGAGGCTTCGGTTTTGAGTGCAGGTAGGGGACTTTCAACACTTGATGGCAAACAAGTGCAACATTCGCTGGCGGGGTCGTCGAAAAAGGCTGAGCTCAGTGCCTGCTTGCTGCGTGTGGCCGATGTGCGCCTGCCCCAGCACGTTGCAACACACACGCACACATGCGCTCACGCCTCTGGGAAAGAATTTTGGCTCTGCATCATGTTCAAACGGGCGCGGCTAATCAATGATGGTTCTGAACATGGCGCCTTTGAAGACCCTGCAGTTCTTGCTCTGAAAGCTGAGGCTGGCAAACAGCTTCGTACATTTCTGTTGGAGAAATATTGCCTTGACGGCCTACCTGCATCAACCGTTGCAACCATTGCTTATTGGTGCACCAAGGCTGGTGGCCTGGGTGTCCAAGATTTGGCAGTGCACCCCAGCCAGGCTGTAAAACACGGAAGTGAACACATTAAGAATGCCGCGGGCAAGATCTACCCCGAGCCCAATTTGACCAGAGTCTTCACGCCCATGTACGTCAAAAGAGAAACACGTCGCGTTGAGCAGGACATCCCTGTTTACTTGCCCTCCCAGGCCTTCAAAGACTACGTCGATGACCTCGCTGCCCAAACCTGGGCAAACATGCCGCGGCTTGTCGGCGACATTGGCATCTACAAGAACCACCCCGTTGTCGTCCAAGCAGAACTGGAAAGCAATCAGATCACGGTTCGCCCCATTGCGCTCTATTGGGATGGAGTTCAGTACACCAACCACGATTCCTTCATGGGTTTTTATGTCACCGACATCCTTTCTGGGCAGAAGTTTTTATCCTTTCTTGTCCGACCCTTGGATGCCTTTAAGTGACACGTTCCGCAAACCCAACGGCCACCTTCGAAATGTCGGATCTATCAGGGTTTTTCTGAAACATTAATAGGGGGGCGGGGGAGTTTCAGTTTCTGTAGGGCGCCCCAAGTGAGTGCAAGAAACGCGCCCTGAGGCAGTGATGAGATGTGCAGCTGTGGCTGTCGAGGCTGGTGCACGCTGCACCCTCTTCTTCTCGCCTGGGTGGAGGATCTCAAAAGATTGGAGGAGGGTTACCCTGTTCGCTATGCCGTGATCGACATCCAAGGGGACTGGCCTGCATTTTTGCAAGTGTTCGGCTTGCGCTATTGGGCGCACAAGACCCACCCCTGCCCTCTTTGCAGGGTCACACTGCCCGAAATGCTAGAGATTGACGTGGACAACATTACCGTCGATAACCTTCTGTCTCCGTTGTACCAAACAGAAGACTATGCCAAAGATGTTGCCAACAGCACAAAGGCCCCCTGGAAATCCTAAGCCGGTTTTTCAACTTAAACAATGTTTGAAACATTCGCTCGCAGGTGTTGGTCGTCCAGGATGCGGCAGTGCAGTCTTTGCTTTTTCGGAATTTGGAATATCGAGAACGCCTTCGGGGGAGAGTCCTTGTGAGAGCCTTTCCAGAACTGGGGCTGCCAAAGCACGCGCGGCTACTACCCTCGCAAGCTTTGCCCGACGTTGGCAAGTTTGAGTTTACCCCGACCCCTTTCCCAGCGACTTTTTGGACGGCGTCAGCAGACGCCAGGCTTACCCACGACTGCCCATTGCTGGCGCTTTCTGGTGTTGGGCTGGAGTCATTCAGTTTGGACATCATGCACACTTGGCATCTGGGCCCCTTACAGTTGCTGGTGTCGCTGTGCATCAACTTTTTTTTGGATACGGGGCTGTGGGCTCCTGCAAACAGTGGTGGACGCGTGGATGCAAGTGACAAGAAAAAAGTCGCTCTTCTGGCCATCAAAGCAGAACTTTTTCAATGGTACAAGGAACAACGAAAGGATGCAGATTGGAGGGCTCGGGGAACGGAAGCTTCTTGTCTGAAACTTGTTGGGCCCCAAACGCAAAGTTGTCCTGCCAACTTGCAACTAAACCGACTTAGGTTTGGAACCTCACGGTCGGCATGATCCGAACAACTGGGAGCCCGCACCTCAGCTGCAAAGCTGGCGAGTCACACGGCCTGGCGCAGTTTGTGGCCTACATGCTTGAAAACCACCGCTTGGATTTCCAATCTTTAGCACTTGGAGATGCCCAGAAAGCGCAGTGGCTCGGAGTTGCTGCGCAAGCAGCAGTAAATCTGAACACAGTTTTCCAAACAGGGGCTCGGTTTCTCACCCGTGCCCAAGTGCAAACAGCCTTGGGCTTCTATTGTCGGTTTCTCGTTTTTTTTCAGCGGGGGGGGGAGCCCTGACGCCAAAGTGCCATTTCATGTTGCACCTACTCACGCGAAGCGTAGAGAAGGGCAACCCGAAAAGCTACAGCACTTATAAAGATGAAAGCCTAAACGGCTTCATCGCGAGGATTGCCAGGTCTTGTCACAGGCGAACATGGCACAACTGCATCCAATGGAAAGTTCAGTTTCTGCACAAGAAGCAGCACGCCCAAGCTCAACATGTGAAAGTGCGACTCTTGCTTGCATCGTGTCATGCACCGTTTGCGCTTGCAATGAACCGATGTGGAACCCTTGCTGCAGCATTGGCCAACCTTAAGCCCACGCCTCGAAAGGCAAAGTGAACGTTCCGCCATGGCCGCCGAGCTCTTGCCGGCCTTGGATGGCATCTTCGCCCGGCAAGTTCATGCCGATGACAGTTTTTTTGACGCAAGCCTGCACCTGGAAACGGTTCACCGCAAAGTGCAACAGTTTGATGACAGCAACCAGGAACGAGACCTACAAGCTGTTGATATGTTTGCAGGGGACGGCAACTTCACAACGGAGTGTAGAAAGGTGGGTTTGACCTGTGATGCAGTTGACATACGCATCAGTGACTCGCACGACATCTTGACCCAGCAAGGCTTTTGGTTCGTTCTGGGACTCATCCTACGGGTGGTGGCTTGGACGACAATTCTTGTAAGCCAGTTTCGCAGCACAAACTATGGTGCTACAGCGCGAGTGTAGAAATCTAAGGAACGCTTTGGAATGATGCTGGCGGGCCCTCCATGTGGGCTGTTCATCTTTCTCTCCAGCAGCTATCACAGGAGGAACATGTGCTACCCGTACGGGGACCAGTTTAGGAGAAAAATCAGGGCATCCAACCAGTTGGTGGTCAACTTCTTGGTCTTGTTGGCAGTGGCGCATGCGAGGGGCCTTCATTGGCTGACCCTTGGCCAAATCAGTGCTTTGTTCAAACCACGCCACAAACAACGAAACCCAGCAAACGACCCTAAAAGCAGTTGTTGTTTTGTCATCGTGCTCCAGTGCTCAGCCCTACAAAGTGTAAGCCCCTCTAGGATATTTGGCGATCGCTCTGACCCAAGGTTGGAACAGCCGGCCACGAGTAGTCTTTGGTATTTCCCTGAAATGGCCCGTTTTCTGGAATCTGTTGACGGAGTTCGCCTACACACATGGATGAAATGTTTCGGCCATGACCTGCCCAAACCGTCAGTTCTCATGACCAGCATCGAGGAGGTGTTCTCTTCCCGTCTGAGGCGGAATTGGAGCAAAAAAGTTCAAGCGCGGTTGGAGCAACTCCTCAAAGAACACCTGACGCAGCGCTGGTCAACAAGAAGACTTTGGGCAAAAAAGTGGACCGTGTGCAAAACCGCGATGAAGTTCCACGTGGCTTACAAGGCCAGAAGCGATCAACAAAAGAAGTGCTACCACTACAAGAGCAGGTCCAAGAACAAGACCCGCGTTTGGGTCAACGGGGGCAAAGATCTTCGCGAAAGCGGTGTCTACACACCAGCTTTTTGCCGGGCGGTAATTTCAGCGTGGATGGGGGCCCAGTCAGCCAAGGTCAAGAAAGACACCCTGCCGCAACATGTTTCCTACCAGGTCTTGTGGGGCAAGGTGTTTCGAAGGGCTTCCTTGCAACAGGACCAGGGTGCCAACAAAACAATTTGACATTGGATTGGTTATGGTGTTTTTTTGCAACGGTATCATCCATATCACCCTGAAGGATAACCAGCTTGCGGCGACGCTCAGGCTGATGCAGAGCAATCTGGGGCGCGTGATTTCGGCACTTGACGAATGAGCGGAAAACGGCAGCAGCGGCCGGCGCAGTGCAAAGCTGAAAGTGTGCTTTGGGGCGCCCTGACGGAAACCAAATGTTGCTAACGCACATGTGTAACCCTCATGAGCCTTGACCCGCATGCGTTCCAAAAACCAGAGTTGGGGAAATGTTTGCAGCCTTCAAAGCGCAGTCGCGCGTCTAACGCCGACCCAAACGGACGCATGTTATTCCTTGCAGAGGCAATTGCAGAGTGTTTCTCACACGACACCAACGCAACACGATCTAAAAAACAGATGTCGGGCATCTAAAACTGAGATGTTCTGGCACGATCCTTTTTTTAGATGTGATTAGGGGTCTGGGTAGTACCGAGAGTAACATACGTACTCTTAATGGAATGAACAACAGGATCATGGCTCAGCTTACTGATATTGAAGGTCATGTTGATGAGGCTGCTGACATCATTCAGGGTGTTCAAGATAATCAGATGAATCCTCAACAACCCAGAGAGAGACGGAACGTTGGATACAACGCTTTTGCGGGGCAGGGACATAGAATCAGGTCTCCGACGCCCACTCCCGGAGAAGGTAACGGTCGGGGTACTGGCCTTCCGGTGAGACCGGGCGGAGGTGTTGATTTGGCTGATCATGTTTTGCCAGATGTGCCCGGTAGGGTCGATCCTTCTCATGCAGGCAGGCATCCCATTCATCCCGATAGGGAGAGGGCTGACAGCAGAAGCAGAAGAGCTCGGGGACTGCCTGACAGGTCGCATTCACCGCCAGGGCGTGCGAGGGATGGCCCCCGCGCGCGCGCAAGGGGGACGTTTCTGTTTCCCCCAACAGGGATGTGGGTAGGAATAGGAGCCCGAGGCCGTCCCCGATAGGGGACCTGAGGTCCGGAGTCGGCAATCGAGGGGGGAAAGGCCAATCCGCGATAACGGGAGCATCTCTCCGAACCTGGATAGGCCGATCCGCGATAGCGGGAGCGTCTCTCCGAACCCAGACCGTCATCCAGGAGGTGGTAGGGGTAATGGCCCATGCCGACATCCAGAGTCCCGGCGATAGCTGGAGGACTCCTGGGAGCAGAGCTCGTGCCGATATCCAGAGTCCCGGCGATAGCTGGAGGACTCCTGGAACTCCATCTGATCGTGGACAGGCCTCGGCACCGGCTGCAAGACGAGCTCCCGGTACCGGTGGCCCAGGTGCGCCAAAGATCTGCGCCCTCGATGAACCCAACGACCGTAGGCACCCGGACGCTGAATTCTCATGTGTTACGTGCAAGCGTGAGTTTTGCAGGCTTTGCCGGGGCGACGATGGGGACTGTTGCAATTGTCACTTCTTGAAGATGAAATGCTGGGCGTGTCATAAAAGTGCCCAGGAGGTCCCCATGTATTCCTGCACGGAGTGTGCGAACCACATCTGCGAGGATCATAGTCATTTTGGCAATGATGGCCTCGAGCGATGTGCGCGCTGTAATATTCGGCATGAACGCGCTGCAGCTGGACCGCCCCCTCCTCCTCCCCCTGGGGGAGGAGGTGGGCAAGGCGGACCATCCGGCCAAGGTGGGAGTGGAAGTGGTGGTCATGGACATGCTCCATTTCCACCACCAGGTCACGGACATCCCGGCGGAGGCCAAGACCTCCTGGAGGTACCGGGGGTTACCCTGGTGGAGCACCTGGGTTCTATGGTAGTGCTGCTGATACTCATGGAGCTGGGAACAATCAGTGTGGTTCCAGTTTCTATGGTCCTGCCTACGGAGGTGGCGTTGGCCACCAAGGGGTTGGCGCTGGCGTTAGTCAGCCCAACGATCCTGCAGGTTGCCCTTCGAGTGTTGCGAGCGGTGGTAACCTTGGGCCAGGTCTTAGCCTTGGCTACAGCGTAAATGGGGCCGGTAGGCAGGGAGATGGTGGTCTTCTCCCTGAAGCCTTGAGGGGAGATGATGGACGGGACAGGTGCACTAAGTGTAGCAGGATCCCTGAGCCTGGTTTCCCTCTTGTTCCTTGCGTTGGTTGTGGAGTGAGGGCGTGTGAAGTTTGCTGCCCTATGCCTGCTAGACTGTGTGAAAGTTGCAGGATTACCTCATGTACCCCGATAGGGGCTCTGATTTCCACCGTTGTCGATAAGGATCGGTTCCATCATAAGTGCAACACGATCGTGCTACCTGCTGAGCCGACAGCTGATAAGCTGCGGGAATGGCTTTCCGAGATAAAGGAAAGGGTCAGGAATGCTTTCAGCTTTGACTCTGACTACGCGTTAGCGTGGATTTCAGAGACTGAGAGGCTTGACTATGATGCTCTTGGTGGACCCTGCAAGTACCCGATTTTGGATTCCAACTTCACGAGTGCTATCAGGGAGTGTATCAAGACAAGGGCTGTTAGGGACAAGATGAATCGCCTGACCGAAGCCGCTCAGAATATGAATCCTCCCCAGGGTATCAAGGGGAGACAGATCTTGAAGCTTCTGCTGAACCACCTGCAGACTGGGGTCGAGGATGACCAGACCTTCAAGATTGCCGAGTTGACCAGTCTCAAGTGTCGGCAAACAGGTCACTCCGACGATGAAGCTAGGCTCCGGAGTTATCTGAGCACCTGGGACAATCTCATTTCAGGGATCAGGAAGAAGATCGATGATGGGGTACTATTAGCTGTGTTCATTGAGAACGTTCGTCATCTACGCTGTATGCGGCCTGACATCGAGAGGTGGGATCGCGATGTGACCGTTAGGTCTTTCGCGTGGCTTTATAAGGCTTGTCAGGACTGCGTTGAGCGATGGCAGAAGCGACAGAACACGCTTCAGATGTACCAGACTTTTCATGAGCAGAGGTCACGATCAGGCTCTCACTCCCGTGAGAGGGATCGGCATCCTGGCGCTCCTGGTGTTGTGCGGAGGTACGATCCACTTGCCAGGAAGAGTGATCCGAGCCCTTCAAGGTCCGTTAGGTCCGGAAGGGATGGGAAGCCC